ACTGGTCACAGGCAGTGCCAAAACTCTTCCATGTCCAGTGCAGTGAGCAAGCAGATGGTGCCCAGTGGAGCTGGAATTCATAGTCTCTACTGAAAGAATAGACAGCAGACTTGGAAAAGAGATACCTGCTTTCTGTGAAGATAGTGAGCGTTTATTTTAATGACCTGGCTTAGCCTATGACATGAAGATTTTAAGACTCCTCAGGACTGTTAAGGTTAGGAGTATTGGCATGAGTAATGTCAGTGATTCAGAACAAGAGCATTTCTAGAAAGGATGTTTGGTGCAGTTAATCATGGTTGGGCTCCTCTGGRGAAGCATCAGTGATGTGTCAGCCAYAGTATCTACCCCCTGACACCCTCAYTGCCTGACCATGAACATATGCTTCACCATCATCTACAGGAAAGTCTGTTTCTGARTTTGTTTGCTACTGATGACTCCTTCCAAATTCCCAGCTTACTCYGCTCTGATGAAAATCCACAAAGTGATAATTGGAAAGGCATGTTCMAAAGGATAATCCTGTTAGTAACAGCATCTTGTCAAATTTCAGTGTAAATAATAGCTCTTTCTTCCATGACCTGCCTGTGCAGYTCCAGTGAGACACTGTCCCACAGCATCCTCTCTTAAGAACTAAAGAATGGCAATATCTCCTGAGGACAARCCTCCCCCTTTGCTCATAAACAGGATCTGTTCCAGGAGTAGATGAATTAATCCCATGAAATTGCTGTGTYCTGGTCTTTAGTTATAATGGCTTTGGGGTCCTCCTCAGGATGGAGAGGTGCATGGATAAGGCAGTAGGATGAGGTGTCATGAGAGTCACCACTTGAGTGACTTCATGCAAGAATCTGCACAAGGTGAGATTTGTTGATGTGCAGATGGACCAGTAAGGCTGCAGTGYCCAGCAGCTCTGCCCAGCATCCTGTGCCACAGCAGGCACGGGCATTCACTCACCATTGCCAGCTCTGGGCACATTCAGCTCTGGGTTTACCAGAGCTTAATTGCATTTGGAGCTTCATAGAATCACAGAATGGCTTAGATTGGAAGGGACCATCCCATTCCACCCCTGCCATGGCAGGGAGACCTCCCACTGTCCCAGGCTGCTCCCAGCCCCAATGTCCAGCCTGGCCTTGGGCACTGCCAGGGATCCAGGGGCAGCCACAGCTGCTCTGGGCACCCTGTGCCAGGGCCTCCCCACCCTCCCAGGGAACAATTCCTTCCAATATCCCATCCATCCCTGCCCTCTGGCACTGGCAAGCCATTCCTCCTTGTCCTGTTTCTCCAGGCCTTTGTCCAAAGTCCTTCCCAAGCTCCCTTGGAGCCCCTTTAAGCACTAAAAGAGGCTGTGAGGTCTCCCTAGAGCCTCCTCCAGGCTGAACTGATTTTGGTTCCATCAAGTCCTGCTGCCTGGAGTGATTCCATTTTCCCACTCGAGGGTGCTGCTCCCATTGGCAAAGGCCAYCCTTTAGCTKTTCCAGYGCCCACCATCACATCCCAGAGCTCACAGACAAAATGGCCATTAGGCTGGCTCAGAGCTTCGTTTGGACKCACTGAACAGGGTTTCACAGGGTAACACTCTCATGGACTATAACTGGAGGACTTGTTTGACCTCTGAACACAATATCATCCTGTTCACACTGGGCATCTGCTGGATAAATGATTACATTTTTATAAACCTGTGTATACTCATAARTATATTATCATACAAATACACACCAAGGGTTCAGCAGCCCATATTCTTAAAAGAAAGGTGTTTTTTTTTAAGTACCTCATATCCTAAATGTTTTGTAAAGTTGTTGAAGAAACCTGATAGTGAATAGACTGTGTGCCCTTGTCCTTCAGACCCCTTTACATATTTCAAGGTACAGATCCCAAAAAGACTGGTGTCATTTCTGGCTTTGTTGCCTAAAACAAGGCTCACCTGAAACAGAGGCCAGACAAATTTAAGAGAATGAGAATAGATAACTTTAATCCAGGTCTACTGGTACATTAAGGGCAGTCAAAAGCCTCCTCTTGAGGCTTTTTGTCCACCCAAAATGGACACTGAGTCATGAGATCTTCACCTTTTATAAGTTCTGTCTTATAAACATATTGGACTTCAATTCCCTGATGGTATTTTCAGGTGATAATGTCAACCACCCCAAACTTGCTCCCCACCAGTTGTTTCCATATTTTGGGGCTCTGAGGCAGCAAAGTGTCCTTGGATTCAGGTTCAGAGAGGGATTGTTTTGTCTAAAGATGGGAGAACAGTAGTTTTTAGTCCTATACTAGAGAAGTATAAGAATACATGCATGCAAATATAGAAACTAAAAAATCCTAAGGCATCAGCCTGAAGGCAGCACTCTGCAGAGGGACTGAGGGGCATTATTCACTCATCATTCTGAACTCACCACGATTTATCAGGGACTGCTGAGGCACACAGGGTTAGGATTCAGCTGTTTTGCTGTGGGACCCTGGCAGGTTTGTGCTGCTGCTGCGGGATGGTGTGCTGGGGACCCTCTGGTGAGGAACAGGGATGTGACTGCCTGGGAGGGCTCGGGTCACACCTCTGTACCTGAGACAGTGACAGCAATCCCAAGGAAAATAAAAGACAAACAACACCTGAGCATCTTCCTTTGCTCCAGGGGTCTTAGATGCTTTTGTTTCACCTATYGTACACACTAAAATAAACAGACTTTTGCTCATGGAAACCCAATCCCAATCCTTTGGAAGTCAATGGAAGTTTTCATTGATGTCAGTGGCCTTCGGATCAGCCCCAGGAAAGCTGGCTTTATAAATATAGGCACTGCAGATCAGAGCTGTTTTAAGTTGATTTTGGAGATGCCACACAAGGAGATACTGGACAGCCACCTGCCTGTTCCCTGAGGCTGTGCCATGGCCAGAGCTTCCAGACAGGATTATAACTCCAGGGCCCCAGTAATTGGTGCAAATATATTCTCTGATACACTGTGGCAACCTGACTACTCTAACAGAGCCTGTTTATAAGCCATCCGTTAGCCAGGAGCCGGGTTGTGTGCTGCTTGGTGGGAATGGAGCAGGTGGACTCAAACGTGTAAGCAAGACAGCTATTAACGAGTCACTGTATTTGTTTTTAAATTGTTCACATTTCTGTCTGCAAAGGTATTTATAACCATGCTCATCATAACCGTGCTGACTACAGCTTTAGAAAARTCTGGCAAGAAAGAGCTGATGGACAGCATTTCAGTGAGGCAAGGGAACAGCCTTAAGTGCTCCAAGAATGCATTATAGCACAGGAAGAGCAAACAGGATTTATGCTCCCAAGGCTTGAGAGCAAGGATGACGGGGTGGAATTTTTTTTGGCCTGCGTAACACAGGATAGAATAGAACGTCTTAAGATTATTTTTTTCTGGCCTTAAAATCTACACAGCTCCACTGTGCCGATCCAAAGCTGTGGTTCACAGAAGGAGCACTTTTCTCCTTGTTTTGACTGAAATACTCTGTAGTACCTTAACCACTCTTGTTCCGTGTAAAGAGCAGCCGCAATTTGCTGAAGGAGCTTTGGGACCCCTCACCGAGCCCTCCCCTCAGCCGGGACCGGTGCGGGCAGGACAGGGCAGGGCCGGCGGGA